CTGCGGGTGCCGCGGCGGGCAGGGCACGGGGGGGACGTGCCGCTTCTCCCCGGGACCGGCCAGGACAGCACGGCCCTGGAAACCTGACTTTCACGGTTGCTCAGAAATGAAATATGAAAAAGCCAGCTTCGAGTAAAATTCATTATAATCGATAAAAAGCAATACATGGAGGAGTTCCTATTTGCATTTGAATCCTTGCAGTTCAGCTTTCAGGGTGTGGAGGTTTGGGGTTTTTTTTTTTTTCTTTTTTTTTTTTCTGATCTGCAGAGGTGAAATGATGATATTTTTAATGGGTAAAGAATGAGATTCTTGGTGAATCACCCAATGCAGAAATCATACTTTGAGGAAGAACTAGAATAATTCAGGGCGTCCTCTGGTCCAAATCCGCTGTATAGATGTGTACATCAGATTAGATGGGACAGCTGGAACTAAACTTTGCTTCAGTTTTTGGGAAAAATCTTCATTCTCCGTGTCCCTGCAGCTGCTCTTTCTGTCTGTTCATTTCTTTATTTCTCTATTTTAAAAAAATGCTAAATATAGCGTAATAGGTAAGAGAAGACTTCTTTGAGTAATACATGAAGTGCTTGTACCCAGTTAACATCAGATTTTGCAAAATGATTCATATGATATAATTTTGCACAATATTAAGTGCTTGCTTACTCGCAAAAAGGTTTAGATTTCACATGATGATTTATATATAGGCAATGACATGGCTTTTTTGAGTGGTTGGCTTTGAACTAGTTTTAGAAACAAGTTTTATAGATGTGGACTAATGCTTATTTTACTCTGAGCTACAGAATTAACAGTTGAGCAATCTGTTTTGTTCTTTTGCAGAATTCTCCCATGGTTCATGGTGGATAGCTACAGAACATGTGGACACATGAGAGTGGACAGTGCATCAACTGCCTCATCTTCGAAACTTTAATTTAAGCTGTTTTTCTCCTATTCCTTCAGATAAAAATGTCACAGGCATTCACACCATATAAAATTATAATGAAAGCATACAATAATAATAATTCACAATATGTAGTAAGTATATAACATTTTACTGTAAAAAAACAGCCTTTTTTAAATTAAGGTAGGTTAGGTTTTATTCCACATTCTTTGACGTTTTATTCAGATTTAGCTGGCTTACATGAACTCACAGTTGCATTTAAATTAATGACAAAACACCACCAGTTTCAGTGGAGTCAGGAGTTCCCCCCAAACACTTTTCAAAATTACTTTTGGTTCTTTCCTACTAATAACATAACACATTAGTTTTCTATACTCAGGTAGCATGCGTTTGCACTCTAGTCAACCTAAAATTCATTTATGAGCAATATGTCATATTTTGTATAAAATTAAAGATACATTTTTTTACTTTCGCTGAATATACCTAGTGTATCTTTTGATCTAACAAGGTCAGACTATCAAATAAAGATTACTGATAATATGTTTCCAGTTCCTATCAGCTCTATATATTTTCCATCTGACTAGTTGAAACTGGTCCTCCAAAGTCATACTTGCGCTCAATCTGAGCCGGTATATCTTTAAAAAGCACAATCAGCATTTTATTTTCCCCTTTCTTGCTAATAATCAAATGACATTTGATATCTAATTTATATATAAACACCTTTAAGGAATTTGAAATACATTCTTATGAAGTAAGCATAGATTTTCCAGACAGTGACTGTTTGCACAAGTGTTCTGTTTTTAGAACATACATTACTATTCTTAATAAATACAAAAGCTTTTAATATTACCTGGGCAATAATTTCCTATACAAATTTATTAATAAGAATCCCAACCTAGGAGGATAGACAAAGACAAAATTATGGCGTTAAGTCACACGTTTTCTGTCTAAATATATTAATTACAAAAAGACTGCACACTGTTCTACGCTTTACATCCTACCTATTCTGCCTACTTACCTTGCCCTACTGCAAGGTAAGAGCTTGTAGCACAGGGAGATTTATTTATTCTCACTATTATACAGGAACACCAAAGTATTAGTCCACAATGCTTTGTTTAAATTAGGTCACTTTCCATGTGAACCATGGAGTCTCCATGGTGCTTTGCTTTTAAAAAGGATGATATGGTGTTACGAAGTGCCACAGTCCATCTGTAAGCCCTATATATTGTGTCTTCTTTATCATGCCAGTCTTTAATATGCATACCAGAATTTATTGAAATGTGGATACTATTAATAAAACTTGCATGATTTTTTTCACATTTATAGTTTATATCTTTTACACATCACTATCATTTTCAGTGCTGCAATGAAGAAATATTGCTGATGACTGGTTCTATCACCAATATAAGCGGGGCCAGTCATTACAAAAACCATGAAATGGAAGATCACAAAATCGTAGTTTCATCGTTACTATGAACAGACGATGAAATCACGCAACTACTTCAGCAAAACATTTTGCTGGACTAACTTCATTGAGCGGATTGTCACTTTTGGGCACAGCCAGCTAACAATGAGGAACTGAACAATTTGAACAGAAGAGGATGCTTTTGACAGGTTCCTATGCAACAGAAAATTAGAGTTCTCAAAGATGTACCATGGCTGAACTTTGAAAATAGCATTTAGAGATGAAAAATACAATTAAATTAACAGAATTAAGTAAACAAAATGTCATGGCCATCAGATATGTATTATAGCCATGGTATGAAGACACAGAATGAGGAAAAACTATTCTAAAGTATTAATTCTGTTGGTTTACCAAAGGTAACAAGAATAAGAACCATAAAGTTACTGTAGCAACACAGATGTAGCCTGAGAACACACATAGTATTTGTACAGATACATGATCAAGATAGGGACAAGAGAGTTCGTAGCTTTTTTGTTTTGTGAGGATCCTCTCCATTTCTTGTGTTCTCAGTAGGTGTAGTGTTGCACACTTTTTTTTTTTTTTTTGCATGTGCCTTTTCTTTGGATAGGTCTTTTTTTTTTTCTACCCAGAGTTATTCTCTGTGTGACAAGATTGCTATATATTTCTATAGGACTTCCACACCTCTGGCAGCCCAGTTGAAGAATTTTGTCCAGCTTCTGAACATTTAGATAATCTAGATATGTTCACTGTTTATCTGTAGATTAATCTTATTGTATTGCACAGCTGGTTTGTGCTTGCGTAACAGATCTGGCACATCTGGGTCAAGTCACACTGAATACACTCATAAAAAATAATAGTACGGCCCACACGATGTGAGTCTGACTTTACTGGAAGCATCAGACCTGTTGTATATGTTATGCAGTCGACCTGTGCATACAGATTAAATTTAGTGTTTCCTGAATATAACACGTTTTCTGCTAATGCTCAGACTATCCGAGCAAAATGCACTGCAAGGCCTGGTATATCACAGAACTGTGGAACCAGGAGGAAGCAATTTCTGTTCAGGCCCAAACAGAAAGTCTAGCTATATGCAAGTTCACAGGCAATGGTGTTCTGCCTGCTTCTGAGTCATGCCTAACATGTTTTCTTATGCCAGTCAGTCCAGCATATTCTTATGACTATTCAGATGTTCCTGTTTCTTTTCTCCCTTGTTCTTGTCCAGAAGCTCTTCTTTTTATTCTGATATTATGCATCTGCTGGAATTGATTCATAAGAATAGCATGCAACAGCAGCCGGTGGCTTTTTCATCTCAGAATTCTGTAAGACATTTGGATACTGAAAATTCCTCTCCTCATGTGGGATGAGTCAGGCAGATGCAGGTAAGCTGTACAGAAACCACAGAAATTACTACTATGGTAGTGTTAATCAGCTTGCCAGCAATAATGAGAGAATAGATTTTCCCAGTTTTGGAAGTTCTTTTTGCTTTTACCAACCTGACCTATATTTGAATTTTTTTTTTTACCTCAGTAAGGTGCAATATGGAATACCAAAATTTTAAGCAATTTGGAAGAGAAAGAAGGGTCATGGAGAGAAGTTGTGGAGCCAAAGTTGGAAAGCTCAAGGTGAGGGTTGGAAAAATTGCATTTCAAAATTACATTACCTCCGTGCCATATTAAAGTAACTTGTTAACAATTGACTTGTAATTACATTTACAATGCCAAAAACTTGAAGTATCATTTATATGAACACAAGTGTTTCCTGGTCTATTTATTTTGTGAACTGTTATCAATATCTTGCAGTCAGTATCTTAAAAATTAGCTCTTTTTGGTTTCCTCTGAAGGATGAGTTCCTATTCGTTACTGGGACGTTTATGGTTTGATTCCTTGCACAGCCTCACAAAGACAATGTAGTCATAACATTTGCATGTGACCACAGGAAAAGTGAGTCTAACTCTAAAATGCGAGGTGAGAGAGTATCCTCTAGGAAGAGGCACTGTCTTTGCCTACATCTTTCCTGGTTTGGTGCATCCATCTCCTTGAGTCATCTTTCACCAGCTTTATTATGGGTCTATGTCAGGCTTGTTTGAATTTTTGTGACAAAATGACATTCCTGAATCCTGTTAGTTTGCTATCCACTGCACCACCAGATCATTTTCTGCAGAACTTCTCTCTCCTCTATTTATACATTATAATAGTCCTTCTTGAGTGTAATAATTTGCCCTTGCCTTTACTGGACTGCACTGTGATTTCCTCAAACCGTTTATTTTAGTTGGTCAAGGCCATTTTGAATTCTAGTCCTGTCCTTCAATATACTTACAGTCTTTCCTAGGTTTCTATCATCTGCAGATTTAATAAGCCTATTGTCAATTCCAGTCAGATCAGCAGTGAAAGTGCTATTAATGAATAATTCCAAGATCTGGAAGAGACCTCCTGAAGAAAGCTAGTGTATCCTGTGAACTATTGATAACAACTCTGAGAATGTTTTTCAATAATTTTTGTACCTACATGAGAGTAGTTTTATCTATTGTGTGACCTGGCATCATCATTCCTAACTTTAGACACATAGCCTAGAAAGTAATTGTGTTAGGCTACTTTCACAGTCAATAATTAAGAGAAAAACAGCAAGCTATTCAAGTTGTTCTTTGGAGTTGTCTTTCTCTTCACTAAGAAAAAGGAGCATAGGGCAGCCTTTTCCCCAGTTTAGATACTTCAGTTTATTTGCATTAGGTTGGTCAAATGTGCTGGAATTCATGATTTTGTTTATGATAGTGTCATGATAGTGTGAGAAGGGCAATGTCACTGACGATAAACCACGTCACATGTCCATTTCCATTAGCTACAGGTCACTCTGCTAGGGAAGGAAATGAAGTTGGTTTGACTTGCTTTGGCAGACTGTTTGTTTGATTTGCTTCTATTTTTCCAGTATTTCCAATATTATATTGAAAAATATTTAGAATATTTTCAATAGTTTTGATAACCTCAGTTCCACTAACTGAAGTTAGTTAATGGACACATACCAATTCTACAGCAAAAGCAACACACTGAAGCAGAAATTTAAAAAGACTCATCCCAGAGGATTTCAGTTTTTCTTTACTTATAATAGTGAGAATCCGCCTCTGTAGTTACTTTAAGGCTGGAGTTTTACTGACAAGTTATAGCCTCCAGAAACAGGGACTGAGCATGGAATCAGACAAACAAGTCTGTTATGAACACAGCTGCAGATTGTCAGAAGGGTATCTTCTTATAACTCCAATAAAGATATTATTAGGAAGAACAGTTGTGAAAAGGCAGTAATTTTCTATTGTTCTTGTTTCTTAAGTGTATTTCTAGAAAGCTTGCTAGAACGCACACAGTTTAAATGGTCTCAACCATTCGATAATGGTTTTCTCCGTGATTACAATTGTCTGGATTAAAATCCTCATACTACAATAGTGTTAAAAAGACTGAAGGTGTAGGTGTCAACAGAAGCATGGGGGGGAAAGCTGCTCTTTGTGTCATTTTTACATGCATAATAACAGCTGATGTGCAGAGCATTTTCAATATCAGAGTGGGAGGATATGAGAACCCCAGGTGCAGTTTCAGAGGTGCAGCTTGCAAGTTTAGCACTGTTATTAGAAGATGGAAATTCATAGCTTTTTGTGTTGGTAATGGAAGTTTTTGTGGACCTCTGTGAAGAGACATAATTAATGCATTGCACATTAGCCAATCAAAATAGCTCAATCATTTCTCAACATACCATTCAGAGAACAGTATCTATTAGTTTCTGTGAGGAGCAATAGAGCGCTGATCACCCATTTGGTCTATAGAAAATGTAGTTGTTCATTTTGATTTGGTTTCATAATATTTTTATAGGATGTTGTCCCAATACCTTATTAAAAATGTGCATCCTTTCTAGGTTTCTTTGCATGAATGTGTAATCATTATTTTCAGCATGGCCTCAACAAGGATTTTTGGGGGAGCAATTTTAATCTTACTTTTATGTTTTGAAATTGTTATTAAGTGCTATTTCAGATTGCTGATGTCCCATCTGATTCTCTACTGGCCTGTCAGCAGATGGTAAAGATGTCTTGTAACGTTAAAACTCAGAATATCAGCATTTCTAGAAGTGAAATAATCAACTGAAGTTCCAAAATACCAACTTGATTGAAGCAACAGTATATTTTTAATCCTACTGTGATGTGTTGTCAAAAATTAAAGGCAAGCCATTTGCTGTTATTTAAAACTCAAAAATGAGACATTTCTTAGTAACACTAAAATTTTTCAGCCAAAAATGTTCTAATTTATTTTATTTCTGGTTGTATTAAATAAGAGTGCACTCCCTTGTTGCGGAAACTTATTTGTATGAGAATTTAGAAAAGTTGCTTTGTTATATGTGCTGAAATTATGACATAATTTCTAGCAACAAAAAAGTTATATTAACAACACTCTCCTTTTGGTGTATGAAGCAGATTAGAAGTCAGGGTTAAGATAATTTGCAGTATTTGCACATCTAATAATTTGGATGACTACATTCAGGAACCTAACAGTCTTTCTCTTCTTACTTATCTTTCTCTTGCACTTTGATTTTTCTTGCTATTCAATTTCACTTTTATTTAAGTACCATTTTGTGCAATTATTGCCTCACAAAAGGAACTAAGTTGAAATAAATATTAACCAAGATTAGATTTAACAAATATATTCAGAGGATTATATTAGTGGTAAAGATGTATATTAATTAGGGATCAAAATAATTTACCCCTTTATGTTTCATGTAATCATTTTTTATGTCCTTTTAAAGGATGCGGAAATATACTATTTTAGTTTCTCCATTAAATCTGAGCTTGCATCAAATATTAATCAAGTATTTTATCTTTTTATACTTGCTTTCCAGCTAAATGGTGGGAATGTTCTCCTATCAAAACCAACAGAAATGGAAAATAATCCCATTCAGAGCAATTCAGAAGATTAAGTATTTTCAATAGTTCTTGTTTTTCCACTATATAAAGTTGTAGCATTTCCCTGTGAAGGAAAAGATATGTTGTGGTTAGCATTTAGCATGATTTCTCCCTGAAAGTCTGAAAAAATATCTGTCATTCTGTCAGTCTCTCCATTAACTGCATGAACAAATACAATGAGGAGGTGTCATTGCTTTCAAGAGCCCACCTCTGGTTATATTTAGGTTTATTCTTTTCCAGACCTTTTGTTTTTAACAGCAGCAAAAAGGTGGCTGAAATCCCGTCTGATTTACAACTCAGTAAATTTCTGTGTGTTCAATCCAATTAAAACTGGAAGGAATGTTGCCAGTATGTCAACAAAACTGCAACAAAGAGATGGGAGGGTTAGTTTACAGAAATTCCTGAATTCCTTTGTCTTGACCAAATGAAAGAAAATTGTTCGGGTAAGACAAGTGCATACTAAAAGGATTAACTCTGATAAACTGACTTTTATGTTCAGATGAAAGCTAGTCTGACTATTTGGAGAAGTTTTCAATCATTTTTTTTAAAAGCAGCTTTGGATTTAACTAGAGGTGAGTCTTCTGTTTAAAAGCTGAGGGGGTTTTCAGTGCCGTAAAAGACATAGCCTGGGCCTCTTAAACGTGTGGAGTACACTGGAGATGTGGCTGTAAAATACATCTGTGCGAGGCTACATGCTGCTGTGGAAAGGGACCATTCTGCTCCAGCTCACTCCTCCACTCTGGCTGTTTGCTCTTACCAGTACTGGTGCTCTTCTCTGCAATGAGCTAATAGAGTTTAGGGAGTTTAATAGGCAGAAAATTAACCTTACCAAAAAAAAAAAAGGGGGGGGGGTGGGGGACGCAGACAAACAGGATACCTGGTGGGAAGGGAGTGCTGCTTTTAGAGTCAGCCAACAGTTAGACCACATCCTCTGTATCATAAAAACTCAGATACATGCTGTAAATCAGGATTGTGTAAGGGATTTCTCAGATACTATATAATTTAGCAAGTGGCTCATTTTAGAAAATCTGGCTTTAAAATCCCACATAAAGATACTCCGATGAATATTTGTATGACATAAGATGGGCATGGCAGAACGTGCAATGAAAATATGGTTTAATTGGTATTAGTGGTACAAAATATATGCTTAATTTTAAACATGTTCTTACATGCTTTGCTCAGTTGGAATTACGGACAACACCCTTTAGCTATGTGTCAGAATATCAGTTAAGTCTACATAAATCAATAACATGTCAGCATTTTTCTAGGTTAAATTACATGACTGGAAGTTTGTAGGCTACTTTTTCAAGTATAGGCCTAAGAAGCTGAGCAACTTTTATAATATTTAATCTCAGCTTGGTCTCTGAGTGTTTGTTAATACAATTGTTTTCTAAACGACTTCATTCTACATTGTATAAAATCTGAATAAATGTCATAGTTTGCCAATTGTCTAAGATATACCAGAACAGCACGTTTGATAGAATACCTAAAAATAGAGAAAACCATGACATCCAGTCAGGTGTATGCAGGAGGTTTTACTTATACAGTCAATTCATGATTAAATTAAGTAGAAAGACATATTCTGCAATATCTAGTCTAAAAGGACAAAAAGGGTGTGAAGACTGTAAAAAAGATCATAATTTTTTCCTGCAGAGCACAAAGAGTCCAGTTCTAGTTTGCTGAAATACTAGCTATATTTCTCCTGATCTTGAACTGGAGGATCTGTGGGCAAACTGTACATCAATGCATCTGTAGCCAAGATAATCCATTCCCACGTAATAGGAGAACTGACTTTAATTTGTTAGAAATCATAACTAATACTAACACACTGCAAATCAATATTATTTGCACAACAAGGTGTGGGAAAAAACAAGGCATAGTCTGAAGTCATGCTTCTAAACATAACAGCTGCATGAATTCCAAAAATAATTACTTGAAATTGCTTTGTAATTCAGTTCTCAGATGTATTTTTTGTTACTGTCACTTCATCATGTGTATACGCATGACTATCCATTTGCGGACGCATTAGATGGAATCGATCATTTTAAACAATACCCAGAAAGAAATGAACTTTTAAAATCAATTACTCATCATGCAAACTTATTTATAATTGCTATTTATCAAATGTAGGAACAAACATTGTTTTGTAATTAATCTATACCAATAATTTAATTAAAATTGCATGTTACTTATAAACAATATGCAAATAAGAAAAGGAACAACTGGCAAAATCCATTACTGCAAGAGGCTTTTGCCTAGCTCTACTTCTCCAGGCTGGCTATTTTGGGTTAGAATAGACATGTCACAGTGCAAAGTTAGAAAACTAGCTGTTATTCAAAATACAGAGATATTCCAATTTCCACTTAATAGACTTTTACAGCGCTTGATGAGCTAAGGCAGAGTGAACCTTGGCTGGAGACCAGTGGTATGCTAAAGGCAGCAGAGCAGCAGCACATCCTCAGAGACTGCACATGCTTTCTTAAATAGCTGATGTACCTGAGTGCTACAAATACCACAGTTAGGGAATCCTTGTCCAATATTTGTAAATTGAAAAATACTTTGATATAAAAATTAAAAGTTTGCAGAGTTTTTTTTTTTAAAGGAAAGCCAGTAAATAAAGTACCTTGCCTCCCTGAAAGAGAATCATCCTTTCCCAAAAAACACTTTTGAAAAAGTCCTGTAGAATTCAATGCGAGTAAAACCTATAAAGTTCTCCAGTCATGTATAGGATTTTACAGAAAAATTTATAATGAAAAGCTGCAAATGATTGGGTGCTACTTTTCTGTAAATCTCATTTGGCAGTTTTGCCACTAATTTATATGGGATTGGGATCTCACCATCTGAATCAAGAGGGCATTAAAATTACAGCAGCCGTAAAATTCTTTATTAAATGTTGTATGATTCTTCCAGAAAGTCCATAGGACTTTTAAATATAATTAAAGCCTTGCTACTGATTTGCCTAAACTGAGAAATATGAGTTATTTTAATGCCTGTGAACATTTATGCCTAAAGCTTGTTTTCTGATAAAGCATAATTCTTCATTTATTGATATTTTTCATCACTGAACTTTTAATCTGAATTTTGTACTGCAGTCAACAGATAAATCATGAAGTTGAAAAGTACATGATGTCCTTTAACAGGGAATACATACCAGCACTCTATGCTTTTATGGTTATATTTACTTTATTGCAGATAAGTTGTCTGACTTTGAAATAAGCAACTACTAGGCAGCGGCCATCATTCTAATACTGGGTTCTTGCTCTAAAGAACGGACCATGCGCGGTTGTCACAGCTGCCTAACTGAGGTTTGGTCACCCAGCTTGGTCATTCACCAGTGACCATTCTGTAGCTTTGGCAACTTATTGCTCTGACACTACCTCTTTGTTTCTCAATCATAATCAAATTAAACCAGACAACTGCAAAATAATCAATAGGTTAAATTCATTAGCTTTTCTCTATATGGAATAAAGAGGAAAATGAAGCTCTCCTTTGGTCTTAATTAGTTCTTATAAAATTTGGCAGTGAAACAAAGACACTTATACACTCCTTTATTTTTATAAGAGACTTGCCCAAAAGAAAAACCTCAGACATGTAATTTCCTTTTTTTCTGCTTAATGCTCTCACTCAGAGGCTAATCCAGCACCCTCCCTCTAAGGGTAGAGAAAAGGTGGTTTGGCAATGAACTGCGGGATGTCTCTTTTGTGCAGATCAGGGCATGTTCTGGAGAGCCTACACAAGCTGTTTCCACAGCGATAGGCCAGGTTCTGTATTTACAGACTCCTGCGCGGATAATTCATCTGCAGAAGAAGCCTTAGACTAGAGCTGTGGTTCCACAATCATTACCACTGGATCTATGCCATGCCACATCACCCAGCAGTACAAATTTGATCTGGATCAGGTGTGGGCACATGATTACATTTTTGTCAAATTAGCAGAGCGCATCATAAGAATTTAACGCTGCCTGTTTGCTTTTATGCTGGCTGCAGAAGAACGCGAACGCGGCATGCATGAACCACAAAAGGTTAGAGCTGTGTAGGTAAACAATGCCTGTTCGAGCAGTCATCCTGCCAGTGCAAAGTTAACCTGTCAAAGTTTTGTTTGAACAAATTGAATTGGCAAAGTGTATTTCAACGGCAACAGCACTTTGTGTCACGCACTCAGGCATCACAGATCTGGCAGTAGCAGTGTCAAAAATATTTACTATACTGTCAAACACTGGCTGATGCTATAGCAACGGAGTAGTCTGAAGGAGTATTAATTCTCATAATTGCTGCTGTTTTCCATAGAATTTACCTGTGCTTCACACAGGTATGGTATTTTGGCCTGCATATAGTTTTTAAGGTGCGGTTTTGTGGTGAGTTGAAGGCAATGTAAGACTTTACCTCTGCTGAAAAGGTGTGATGTCACCACTTCCATTGCATCAGCTAATAATGATGCCAGGCTTGGAGTGAGTTAGATTAGCAAGCTGATTTAACTGAAAAGTAACAGAAGTAAAAAGAAGGATGAACGTTTGGACTATTCCTTTGTTGGCAGCCCTTAGATTGACTTAAGCCAACTGTAAGCCTGCTGGTTCAGCCTTTAAGTTTCAGTTTTGAGTATTTTTCAGCTGAAAGGTCTTGTCATAATAAGGGGGGGGAAAGAACAGTTGTAAAAAAATGGTTAGCAATAAAAACAATAATTTACTGAAATGTTAGTCTTTGCTGAATTATTGGGAAATATTTCCAGCAGCTTTTTCTACACCTAATATCTAGAGAATAGTAACATCCATGTTTAGGTTTTTGATTATTTACTTTATTGGTGAAATATTTGTGGTAATTAAATGAACTTTTACGAAATCTTTACTTTCTCCTAACAAGTGACATGCACTGAAAAAAAAAAAAAGAGACTGTTGTCTTCTTGTTCCTTAGTCTGTAATCTCTCTACTCCTAGAACAGCATTTTGCTTTAATTCTTTGATTTTAACTCAACCACTGGGACAGATATTCCCTTCTATCTCTAGCTAGCTTGATTCTAAGACAGTTACGCATCAGCACTCTCAGAAAAGATTACCTTTCTCACCAATCATTTCTGTGACAGGGTAATAAATCCCATATATAGATTAATGAAGCTTTAAAGAGAAATGGCAACAGTCTGCCGTCTCCCCTGCTGCTTCCCCTCCCTTCTGGTAACTATTTAAGCAAGGGGCCAGACTGTGGGAACTGTGGAGAGAATAGCTGGAGGTAGGTGTCAAGGTAGAATTCAGAATTATGTTGGGGATTTCAGGAAAGAACTTGCTTAGACAAAGACCACAAAAGGTGTCAAAGGGTGGTTATCTGGACTGTCTGAAGGAGAAACAAATGGAGAGAGCTGTCTCAGTGCTAAGAAAGGTTGTACTTTGTAGACTAGAACTGAAAGTAGCTGTTGATTCCTGAAGTGTAGGTTCCGGGATGATGTGGTATTGCAATTTCCTTATCTGTTTCTGGTAAAATGAGCTCGAAAATAGTTCAAAGTACTTATTTATCCTGCTCAAGATAATCTTCCTGATTCTTCACTGTAGCTGATCAGACTGTGCTAAAATGAATAACCGCGCTAACAAAACTGTTGGATTGTTAACTTAAGTAGGGGTAGAATAACTCCTTCAAGTACTTCATCTGTTTGCAAAATAAATTATCAAGACACTGTCAAAATAAGGGATAGAAGACTCTCTGGAAAAACTTATATTTGAAGTCCTAGTTAGCTCACCTGAAAGTTACATAAACTAGGAACTTAACATCCTTTACTTTTCAGAAAGAAATTCACCTTAAAGCCAGACAGA